ACTGCATCCTTTCCCAGTAAAACCCTTCAAATGCTGCTTCAAAAATTAATGTGTTTGAGTGCTTTAATGAAAGCAAAGGAGAGACCTTTCCCTTTCGTCCTGATAAAGCCCATAGAAAGTTCAAAGGGAACTTTTAGTGTTTAGTTATGCTGCGTTCACCCTGAGTTACCTGAAGCTTTAATGTTTTATTGAAATTGCTGGGGAATGTTGACTTTCATGTGAGACCTGTAAATGGGCAGCCTGTAAAACCAAGGCACTAATATATCAAATATGAATTTAGCTTAAAATGATGCACATTATGAATAGGATTTTCCAGTCTTTTTCTCCTGAGATTGTTGAAGATTTTTTCTATAATTTTCATTGAAGCAGAGCCAGAGCAACACAGGAAGATTTAAAAATCTCACTCTGTAAAGACATCTATGAATTCGAATCACTGCCATCAGGAATTTTTTTTACTTTTGTTAAGTGGTAGTCACCCCTTGAAAAATGTGTTACTGTTTTACCTCCACAATTAAACTCACAGCCTGCTTGCAGCGTGAAAACTCTGGCAGTGATGCAGTTGCATTTGCAAGCTTTGCTTGTGAGCTGTTTTCACTTACCTGAATACGAATTAAACTTGAGGTGCTGCGAAATGCAGTTCATGAGGTGCCCTCTATGAACTGGAGCGTCACCACCTACATCCGTGCAAGCACACTTGCAATAATCTGTGTGCCACTTGTCCGTGATATCAATCAGTCCTTACATTTAAGACTTGGTCTGTGGGAAATGAATGAGACAGGTTTTAAATATGAATTATTGGAGTTTCGAGTGTTGAGCAAGTCATAATCTAAGATAAGAGGGATCTTTTGGTGCTTTTAGACTCAGTTAATCCTGCTATTAGTCCTTTAAAGTTTCATTCTTGGTTTCGGTATGTGTGCTAGCTTTGTCTTTGTCTCCATGGAGTAAAATTTGACACATTTTAATTCAGAGCTTTCTATGACTTTTCCATCCTACTTCTAAGGGTAACATCAAGGATTTTCAGTAGAAATTATTGCCTTTAGGTTTCCATCTTCATAAGTTTATGTCCTCAGAGAGATAAAAGCAGATTAAGTGTCGCTGTTGCAGCAGAAAAGAAACTCCAGCAATACACACAACAGAAACAGACTGTCAGCAAAAAAAATTCAGCTAGGAGAAGTCAGCATTAAAAATAATATTATTTGTCTGAGGTACAATGTTGCCCCAAGGAAAGTCAGCGGGGGGGTTTCCTATCCGTTTCTGTAGCCAAAATTAATCAGAATTCATCCTTTAGTAATAATTTGAATTTATAGTATGGGTTTTAATTCCATTGAAGTGAAATATGTTTTAAAGGAGAAAGATCAGGGAAATAAAGCCCAGAAGACTGTCTCTTTTGGGGGGGGGGGGAATATTTTATACCTGCAAATCTTTCACAAGTCTGAAAGAAGAGTGAACCAAGGTGCTTGGGAAGCGAGGTATAGCATAAGCTGAACCCCATGGTTTTGCTTGTTGGGACCAGTTGCAGGCTAGCTTGTTAAATGGCCAGAGAGGGGAAGGCCAATAGCATAAAAGGCCACTTGCTTCATAGACTGAAATAAGGCTTAGCCAGCCCATAGGAAAATCTACACACATCTAACTCGAGGAATAAAGCCAGGAGTACAGATGGTAGATTTTATATCAATGTCTTTTCACTTCATTCTTCCCATGCACTTTTTTCCACACTTCTAGTTGATTTAGCTGAGCTTGCAAAACTCTGAAAGTAGTGACCAAGCCTTTGCAATTTCCAGCCATCAATATGCTTCCTGGTCTTTGCAGCCCCAAATTAAAATCTTCCAGTAGAAAAAGGTCCATAATGTTGCTGCTGTGGGTATTCACCCGACAGCCTTTGATGTCAGCCTGCCAGGCTGATTGTAGTTTAATTGCAATCACCATTTCCAGCCAATGTGTTGATTCTTGGCTTGCACCTTCGTAGACTGCAGTCACTGAAATGATAGAGCTTATTTGTCGGCCACTCACGGCTGAATTGAAAGATATACGCAGTAATACCCGAAATTAGAGTCCGTGTGACTGATTTCTCTGGCCATAGCTGGCTGAGCAGTAGGTGTAAGTGGGCAACTGTGTTGGCTCTACTGAAATACTGATTTACAGCAGCTCTCTTTGTCTGTCCTGAGGAAGAACTGACAGTCCCTTCACTGAGCGAGTTCATGCTGTGTGAAAAATTAATTTCAGCCACACTCACAAATAAGTTGATTTTAAAGCACTGTCATTTAGAAAAGGAGGGGCAGTTCTAATTATGTTTTATAATGTACCTGTGATGCATGATTGTGAGTTTTACCCTATATTTTTGAATACTCACTAGTATTTGGACAGCTAGCGTCTCTGCCAGAAGTAGCATTTTGAATTTGAGCAAATTCCAAAATATCTGTTCCTTCAAGCAGCATCACCAGCCATGCTATATACCTTTTCCTCCTCTGCCTCGAGCACAGAATATACCTGGAAAATTACACTGCTCTGTGGCTCAGAGCAGTTTGAGCTGAATCTGGATTTGGGATCCAAAAACTGCTGGAGTCGTGCTTCTTTCCATGCTGGTCAGGAGGTCTCTAAAGCTACAACATGATGGTTATGTCTGCAAAAGTATTTTGGGCTGTTCACTGTGGTTCCCCTCGGCGACTTGTATTGCTGCTTTCCCTATAGTGAGGTGGAGGGATGGGTAAGTCTTGTTTCTGAGAAAACTGTAAAGCAGTTCTGAAATTCTGCCTCTGGGAAATGCCTGGTTTAAGGCATGGTATCAATATTTGGTATCAAAAGGCTATATGAATTCTTGATTTGCTTTACCTGCCAAAATAACATACTGATTGCTCAGCTGGTATGGGGAACATGCTTAATTAGTTGCTCGCAACTTCTGTACAACAGCATCATGGCTTGGTGTTTTTCAGGCATTCTCTTTTTTTCTTTCCCCGAAACTATAAATAGTTTAAGATATACAGGGTATTAGATGAAAGCAAGATAAATGTAATTCACAAGTTTTAAAAAAAAATAATTTATACTTCAGGCATGCATTGATGGAATAGCTGAGCTTTGATCATCAAAGTTAGGTCAATTTAAATAAAAAAGACAGTGGAGTTTTATTCTGAAATAACCCCCTCAAATCTTGAAGAATAGCACTGTGATGTTGGTTTATTATCCTGGCTAATCAAATTATCACAGGTTATAGGCAAAATGGAGGATTTTTTTAATCTGCTATCACGGGGATGTCAGGCAGCATCTCCAAGGAAAATGCTATCTTCGTACCATAACCATCTAATCTTTCGAGAACCCAATAGCTGCTATTACACTTTCTGCTATCCCACTTTCTAAAATCAGTGGGATTTCTCATATACTTCAAATTAGAAGATTAAGAATCTTCTTCGATTTGCCTTTTAAGCAGGGAGGGAGAAAAAAAGCCAAAATTCATGACAAGGCCTGTTATTTTAGATACGTACTTTGATAGTATCCACTTCCAGCTGAGATCAGTTGGTCATAGCTTTTGGAAGACCTTAACGGCCTGACCACTCTAGCAGTTTTGGCAGATGCTCCTAGTATAAACCCAGCTGTATCAAGAAAGCTCTACTCTGATAGAGTTTGTTTTGCTTAGAGCGGTTTTTCATATACTACTACAATGTCTAGCTGCATGCACAGGAGTTTTTGTTGGTATAGCATGTTCATATCCAGTGTACTATGCTCATATCTTGGTTTTTTTGCTATACATCCCTCACTTCAAATTTGTTTATCTGTCATCTCCCAGATGCACGTGTGTCGTTGAAAATTTTCCCTCCCTTGCCCCCAGGTACTCAAAATGTCAGTTCCTGGCTCTGTAGCCTTCAAGCTGCAGATAATTTCTCCCAATGCATTGCAGTCAAAATGCACCAACTTCGCGCAACACTGTTATTTAAACTAACACCTCTGATTTTGACTAAAATAAGTGGTAACAGAATGCAGCTCGCACCAGTAGAGCAGACAAAAGGTGGGAGTGTAAGGGGATTACTTAGTTCTCTCAAATGCAGGAAAGATTAACCTTAACATATGTATTTTTAAACACATGCAGTTATTTACATCCTTGCAAAGTGGGTATGAAATGCCACAAAACAAAAGCAAGAGCGG